ACGAGTTCCTTGAATTGAGTGAATACAATGCTGCAGTCACTCCGTTCCGAGAAGCTTGTCGAAACTTCAACGCTCTCTTTTTTACTGTTACTCCTTTATCAATCGTTTTTCCAAAGGAAAATCAGCAAAGTTGTTAGGAACGTTTTTGGATTTTCTGGCACTTTTATTTTTAACGTTTTATGCATTCTCTAGAAACTATTCCAACCATTCAGTTGATTTCCCTTGCTTTAGAGCATGGTTTCGTTCCATTACATATTGTTTGGGTACCAAACGTTTTTTCAGAAGACTTTTTCATCCTTTTGAAACCTTGAGTACAACATGCAAACGCTAAGCTGGAACCTGTGGCCACATCTTGAACCCTGTACAGTAACGAAAAAACAAGGTTCACGAAAATGACGGTATTTTTCCCTCTAACCCATCATGGACTCCCCGCGCAGTTTTCAAAAATATTTCGGACGCTAATCGTAAAAATAAGCGAAGTAGTCACCCCTTATGTGCTGCTGACGAGAAACTGAGCGTAATGAAGCACGGGTCGCGATTAGATTCTTAGAGAAGTTCTCGCCTTGTGGTAGGACCCCTAATCACAGGAGTGGTGGGTGGTACTGTCGCACTCGAAGTGCATGATAGTGCCCTCACTTGACCGCTGCAACCGCTGCCATTCTTATCAATCGCAGCATACGTGGCGTCTGCGCGCTCCAGGGTTGACGTGCTCTCTAACGTTTTCCCTTCCTCACAGCGCTGTCCCTCTCCGTTTTACCAAGGGCGACCTCAAAAGAAAAGTACACTAGTAGATTCAGTTTTTTGAATGGTATTTTTTGCTTTCTTTCCCTGCTTGAGTCCCTTTTCCCAATTATAGACTGAGTTTCAATCAGGACTGCACAACGACTAATTCGCGACCCGTGCTTTCAATTTGAATTAAGTCTCTGTGAAAGTTTCCAGGGTCCGCTCCTGAATTGAGCATAGTAGATGGAAATCGACAACATGGATGGAGATGGTACACTAGTAGATTGACATCGACTACATGTTGCACTTTGAAAAATTAAAAATCAATAGATCGGTCCTGTAAAGAATTGATGTTTCGAAATGTTAACCGCCTTTCTTCCATGTGATAAAAACGAGCTGTTTCTCGACCGGATTGTGACGTGCGATGTAAAGTGGATTGTTTGCGACAATCGAAGAAGCTCTGCTCAATGGTTGGACCCCTCGATCATGCTCGGCAACACTTCTTAAAGCTGAAACATCGCGAAAAGAAAATTACGGCGCTTGCTTGTTGGGGAGGTCAACCATTTTCTGGGCAAATTTAGGGACCAAACAATTTCCTCTTCTCCTATGAACACGGCCTGAGACCTTCTCCTCACCCTCTCGAAACCCATTATTAGGGTAGTTGAGCCTCGCCCTTTGTTCTCGTACTAGCGGGGTTGTGTTGAAGACATGTCCCAGGATGGTTTTTGAACATAAATATGAAACTTCGTGGAAAATGGGTCGGCAGTAAATGTAAAGGGTAAAATACTCGAATGCAATCCTCGGGATTAAACTGGTGTATAAGAGTGCGTCGCAGTGATGACTGAGCTTTGAAATGAATTGAAAATGAAAAGGAACACAAGAGAAACTATCGCTAAAAATAGATTAAAGGAAATCGCTCGCACGACTTCTCCTTGGGTTGCGCCCAGGGTCAACCCTATTGTTGTTCGGATATTTGAGTAACTCATCTGAACAAAGCGCGTTGAACTTTTGACAAGCTTATTCGGAACGTAGTGACTACAGCATTCTCTTCAATCGATTCAAGGAAATGGTCATTCCTCCTGTCGGCAAAATGTACTGATTACGTTGACTTTGTTATTCAAATTAATCAAATTTCGCTCGTCTCGAGACTTTTTCATTGGATTGTCGAAAACAGGAAGTGCTTGATCAGTAGGCTATCGATTATAGGATTATCGAGGCTTCTGCTATTTTATTATTGTTGAAGTTAAAAGTTAAAAACAGTATAAAAGTATAAAAGTTAGAAACAGCATTGATGAAGTGGCAAGCGGCTCCACTCGTGGCCACATTCCCTATACAAATTCTTGGAATGCGCAAAGTACAGACCGTGAAACCTTTAGTCCTTGCGGATCGGTCAGTTATTACATAGCTGGGAGGATAAGAACACTGCCTTGCCCATTCTCGCCAGCTTTCCCTCCCGCGTTTCATCCTGCGGTCCAGATCGCATTCAAATGCCACCACGAATCCGTGCGAGAGAAGAATTTGTGGCGCATCCCAACAGGTTCATCAACGCCGTATGATTTGTGCTTTTATTGTAGTTGATCATACTTTCATTTTCCAAGCATCTACGCACAATCCTCACCGCTACTATCCCTATTCCCTTTGTCTCTCGAACTCACAATGCCAGTGTATAGAACTCTACAACTTACATTATACGTCCGGTGTTGTCAGCTTGAACGCAATTTTTGACCACTTCCAGTGGACAAACAGAGAGCCATCCGGAAACACCAGCACATCCGCCAGCAAACAGCTTAAAAACGGACCATTTGGTGGATCGGAAAGATGGTAATCATTTTCTATTATTAAATGTTCGTTCAATTAAATGGGCGGAAGTGGTGTAGTGACAAGTGGCGCGCTCACCACGCGAGCGGTCCGGGATCAAATCCTGGGTCGTGAGTCGCCCGGGCCAACCAAGCCTTCCATCCCTCCGGGGTCGGTTAATTGGTACCAGACTTGTCTGGGAGGATAAAAACACTGACTTGACATCGGCTGAGCCTCGCATGGGTCATTAGGGTTAGGCGACATCGCATTCAAAACGCCCCCCCGCCCCCCCCCCCCCCCGTTTGCGAATGTAGAATGGAAGTAGTTTTAGAATGGCGGCCGATCCAAAAAGGATTGAGCAACGGGCTAAATACTTTATCCCTTGATCTTTTATTCTTTCAATCATTACAACCAGTGATCGCAAGAACAGAAGAGGCTATGTGTTATAAGATAAGGCTCTATCATTAGGAGTTGAAGATGACACAAAATAGGGTAGTTTTAGGAAATTCAATGAGCAAGCATGGAGGAGTACTAAGAGCACCTATAGAAGTAACAGCGTATTTGTAGTTTATGTAGGGAAGCACATTTTCATTTACGCTGGAAAGTTGAATGGCGAGGGATCACAGTTAAAAGACAGCGCGACGAATTGCGCGCACATATTTTGGCACGTGGGACGCATTTTTGTTTATTGCTGTCTAGCGAATTTTTCTTACAGTTTTTGAAATGGTACCGACAGAGCTTATTTGATGGGACCACAGATAGCATTTGAATTATGTATGGGAATTATTTCGGCCAAAAATTGTTCCAATAGAAAAAATATATAGAATACGATGTCAGAGCTTGTGGGTTTGTCGGATGTCAAGCTCGGTAGAAATAAATTAAAGGAATCCCCCCTTGTAAAAATCTCGGATTCTTTTCCAACACGCATGTGTGAGTTGTGACGGCACTTCGGAAACTTAGTGAAAGCATCCCCATCGCAGGTATTGTGACAGATGTCCGGCGGTACTTTGAACGCGTAGCAGCCCTTTCGGTTTTCGAATTTTTTATTACCAAAACAAATGCAATAGTTTTGTTGTTTTTTTCAGTTCTTTGTCAACGACGGGGTCCCAAGCAAGTGAATTATGGGTGAAGATAGAATGACCATTTTTCAGAGGAGGATTCCTTTAAAGGCTCACCAGTGGAAAAACAGACCACTGGGAGTGTTTTGAATGCAACTCTCTTTCTTCCCATTGGCCTGCGGCGAAGATAATTAGAGTTGCTAAGAACCCACACGCTAACACTTTTGCTAGCAAAGCTCATTCTGTGGGAAGAAGGGGGAGGGTATGTAATTCCGGTCTAGTAGGCCCCTCAAGACCTAAGTTATAAAGCTGAGTATAAAAAGCCCATTCCACGTACTTTGTAGCCGCAAAATCGCCACAATCTCTGCACTGGGTACAGCTTCTAGTTATACTTCACCTGGGAAACTTTTACGCTCAGCTCATCGTGGGAAGGGAATTTACAGGCCTCAGACAACTGAGTTTTGGGTAAAGCACATGATAGGAACGTCTCTTCGACTTGAGGTGAGCAAATGTTGAGTTTCAAACCAACCTGAGAACATGTATCGTTGACATTTTGACGCCTCATAACTCGTAATATGAACTCGTAGACAGGAATGTAGAATAAATACCCAATATTATCACGCACGAAAATAATTTTTCCGCCCTGAAAGTAAACTATGGTCCGATCAGACATGAAAATGGCCCCACGCCAAACTCGGATGCGCCGCGCGGCCGAGTTCTATTCAACTTAGAGCCATCTAAGGGTTTTTTGGTTATATTTATGATGTCTTAAATGGTTGTACCGAACTTATCCAATTGTACGCTTATTCATGAGGCTTTGCAACAAAAGTGTTCACAGAAAAGTTACCTTAAACAGTCCTCCGATTCCCTTCTGTTTTGACCGTATGCCGTGCACATTCCATAGGACCCGCGTAAAGTGTCTCAGCATGTCGTGTGAAGTGTGAAACGTTCTTCACGTTGAACCTCAAATTTTATAAATCACCGAAACACAGTCAGCTAATATAGCATTTTGTATCCATGACGCCTGTAGGAAAAGTTTCTGAGAAAGCCATGACCCAATTCTCAAAGTTTCATGGTTGGTGACTCATCTTGAATATCTAATAGCCTATGTATAAGAACGAGAAAATCGGAGAAATTGTATTCGTTCTGCTGAACAGCTCGAGGGATTAA